CCCCAACCCCACCCCGAGCCAGCCAGCTTTGCAAGCATGCTGCCCCACACAACATAGGCTTTAGGTTGGGGGGTTGTCTGTAAGCGAGGACAGGTCTGTCTCCCAAGATCTGTGAGAGTAAAGGATCATCTTTCAGGATAGGTTGTAGATCTCTGATGATGCGCTGGAGAGGTTTTAGTTGGGGGCTGAAGGTGACAGCTAGTGGTGTTCTGTTATTTTCTTTGTTGGGCCTGTCTTGTAGGAGGTGACTTCTGGGTACTCGTCTGGCTCTGTCAATCTGTTTTTTCACTTCAGCAGGTGGGTATTGTAGTTTTAAGAATGCTTGATAGAGATCTTGTAGGTGCTTGTCTCTATCTGAGGGATTGGAGCAAATGCGGTTATATCTTAGAGCTTGGCTGTAGACAATGGATCATGTGGTGTGTCCTGCATGGTAATACAGGGAGCTGCATTACTTATGGTGATGAGAGAACCCCTGCTGTCTGTGTAAGTAGTGTCTACTCTGGAGCACTATGGCAGTGCTCTTTTAGCATTTTAGATGTAGACAATCCCTCAAGCAGATCTTCCAGAAAAGCATGGAGTCTGGATCTGCAGACATGGGGAGGTGGAGAATCCACCACTTCCCTTCGCAGTTTGTTCCAAAGGTTAATCACCCTCAGTGCTAAACATTTGGCCCTTACTTCCACCTGGAATTTGTCTGGCTTCAGTTTCCAGTGATTGGGCCTTCCTCTGCCTTTCTCCGCTAGATTTCATAGCCCATTATTATCCATGATTTTCTGCACATGAAAGTGCCTACTTTTTTCTCCCCATGGAAAGTCTCACTTAATAGTCTTTTTGATATGATAAATAGATGAATCGCTCTTAGCCACTCACTGTCAGGTATTTTCTCCAGCCTCCAATCATTTTTGTGGCTCTTTTCTGCACCCTCTCCAATTTTTCAACATCCTTTTTGAAATGTGGACCCCAGAACTGGACGTAGTCAGATTCACCAATGCCATGTGCAGAGGTAAAATCCTTCCACTGCTCCAACTCCCCACTACCCTGTTTATACATCCAAGGATCGCATCACCCCTTTTGGCCGCAGCATCGCACTGGGAGCTCACAATGAGTTTGTTGTCCTCAGTGACCCCTAAACCCTTTTCAAGGTCCCTGCGTTCCATAATACAGTGCCCTAGTCTGTGGGTCGGGCCTGCATTGCCTGTTCTGTGAGGATAACTTGGCATTTGACTGTATTAAAACATTTTGTTTGCAGGGGCATCAATTTCCAAATGCTCCAGATCAACTGATAAGCTTTCCCTGGCCTCCTCAGTGTAATCACTCTGCCAGTCTTCGTGTCATCCACAATTTTTATCTGCAGTGATTTTCTATTTGCTTCCTGATCATTCATATAAATATCGAATAGCATTCGGTCTAGAACTGGTCCCTGCAAAACCCCACTAGAAACATCCCCCTTCATTGACACTGGCCCATTGACAACGGCTTTCTGAGATCATTTAGCCACCCTTTAGTTCATTTAATGTGTGCTCTACTGATACTGTATAGTGTTCATTTTCTTATCTGACTGTTTTCCTCACTATATCAAAGGCTGCAGAGAGATTGAACTGCATTGCATTTGTGCGGTTCTCTTGATCAGCTAAATGTGCACTCTCATTAAAGGATGAAATCAGGTTTATTTGAGAAGACCGGTTTTCCATAAACCCTATTGTTGACTGGCATTATTTATATTCCTAGACTTTTGTTTGAACTAATCCCATACACGTTTTCCATTATTTCCTAACCATGTCAAATCTTTTTTATAAATTTTCCTTTAATTTTTTTAATAGTTTACGTTTAACACAGAGCTGTCCTGTAATTGTTCTTTCTTTCTTTTGCTCTGCTACTACCTGATTGCATACTTCTCCTTATTTCCTGAACCTTTTCTACCTTTCCTGAAACATTAACAAATTTCCTTTCTTCCTCTAGCAATTCGCCTAAATGTTTTCTAGGATTTCTTTTTTTATGAATATACTTAATAACCTCTTTTTGTGATCTGCAGCCTTGCCAAACATGGATTTTCCCCGATGTCTTTAACGTCCCTAATCAATTTTCATAACCTCTGATTTGTATTGCTTGCTATTTTTCCATTTTCACATTTGATATATATTGCTTCCCCCCACCCCAACTGCATCCGTCACTTTGACACTGAACTGGGTTTTTATCCAAAGTTGCCCATTTTCTTGACTGTGGAATTGTGACTTTTTAGCTAGCTAATAAAATCTCCTTAAAGAACTCCCAAATTTAATTCCCAGTTTTTGGTCTACATTTTTCAACCCAATCAGTTTTGTTCATAATTTTCCTCAGCTTTGGGGATTTAGCCCTTTTGAAGCATTAAGTATCCATAGATATTACTACTTGGAACCTCTTTTCTGTTTGTCCATTTGAATGTAAACACTTCCATTCTTTGTCTCTTCTCTAAAGTAAACAGTCCGAGAGTTTTCAGTCTGTCCATATATAGCAGCCTCCCACATTGTCATAGCATGTCTCAGAAATCCACTTTCTATTTTTTATATACTTTATAGATTCTGGGTGACCAAAACTGAGTGCATGTCCAGAGCAGGTTATTCTCCATCACATTCCTTAGGCATCCGAACATTGTCTTTGTTTTTGCCACTGCTGTGAATGAACAAAGGTGTTTCTGTGAAGATGATATCAGTGATGCCCAGGTCACTTCCCTGAGGTGTGTTCAAGATGGAATGTTTCACCCTGGCATATGTCTTGGCAAAGCTTTTGGTTTTTTCCACTCTCAGATTTTCAGTTCCTGGGTGAATGGGGACCTCCCTACAGCATGTACTCTCTAGCCTGGGTTTCATTAAATTAAGGAATAATCATGGATAACCATTATCCACACTCGTGTTTCCTGCTGGTGCCTCTTACAGTTTCCCACACCATGTTGTATAGGAATTATTGAGGCACAAAGCACCATAAAATATTGAATTGGCATTAGTAGCGTCAGTTGTTAATAATTCATTTCTCTGAAAAGACAAAATGTTACTTTTCAGTGTGTGAAGAGCAATCAATCTGCTTCACTCATGAGAACAGCCTCCAGTAGTACATGTAGTGTCTTAAATTAACTTTGTCTCTCCATCCAGGCATTTGTACTGTGACCATCACCCTACAGCCTGTGCACATACAGGAAGTCAGAGGAACGTATGGTATATGCAAGAGGCACCGTTTGCCTCACAGTTGGACACATTCTCCCCTACTCCATGACAGGTTCCAACATAACTGACTTCACCAACCCCTCCACCTTCATCCTGCGGGGGATTCCTGGCCTGGAGAGGGCCCATGTCTGGATCTCCATCCCCTTCTGCACCATGTACACCATAGCCGTCTTGGGGAACTTCACCATCCTGTTCATTGTGAAGATGGAGCCAAGCCTCCATGGGCCCATGTATTATTTCCTCTGCATGCTGGCTACCAGCGACCTGGTCCTGTCCACGTCCATCCTGCCCAAAATGCTGAGCATCTTCTGGTTCAATTCCAGGGAGATATATTTCAGTGCCTGCCTCACCCAGATGTACTTCATTCACTGCTTTTCAGTGATGGAGTCTGGGATCTTTGTGGCCATGGCTTTCGACCGCTATGTGGCCATCTGTGATCCCCTGAGATATTCCACCATCCTGACAAACCCTGTGGTGGCCAAGATTGGGCTGGCCATGGTGCTGCGTGGCAGCATGCTCTCACTGCCCTGTCCCTTACTGGCGAGGCGGTGGCCATATTGCAGAACCAACATAATCCCTCACTCATACTGTGAGCACATAGCCGTGGTGAAACTGGCCTGTGCCGACATCCGTGTCAGTAGTTACTACAGCCTCTCTGTCGCATTCTTGGTGACTGCTCTGGATGTGTTTTTTATCACCATGTCCTATATCCAGATCCTCAGGGCCATCTTTAGTCTCCCCAGAAATGACTCCCAGCTCAAGACTTTTGGGACCTGCGGCTCCCACCTTTGTGCCATCTTAGCTTTTTACATCCCAGATCTCTTCTCTTCCCTCACGCACCGGTTTGGCCACAATGTGCCCCTGCATTTCCAAATTCTCAGTGCCAATGTGTACCTCCTGGTGCCCCCCTTGCTACACCCCATCATCTATGGGATAAGGACCAAAGAGATCCGGGACAGGCTGCTCCAGCTCTTCACTCATAAAGGGACCTAAAGTTTACTCCTGGTGCTCTGGCTTTCCGAACATGCTCTGTTCAGAGCTGGCTGGTGACTTGGTGCTGGCCCCTCTTTCCTGAATCACTTACTGGACAGTCACAGAGACATTAATCCCTTTCCTGACCTTATTGTGTTGTGTAAGCATAACAAACTGGGGAATCATTCTGTTTCCAATTCACTGGGTTTCCACCTTTCAAGTTGCTGGTATATGGACCCCCTAAACCCCACACCTTGCCCTGCCTCTTCTGCCAAGACTCTGCCCTTTTTTTTAACTCTTCCCCTCCAAGGCCCTGCCCCTGTCCTTGGTCCTCTCTTCCCCTCCCCCTGTCACTCGCTGGATCATTTCCACATCCCTCACCCCACCTGCAGCTGCAAGGGAGCATTTTCAGATTTTGGTAGGGGTGACAACCATTACTGTGATTCCAGGGGCTACTTAGACTCTTGACAACTGTAGTTTATTGGAAGGTAAATTATCAATTAGCTGCCAGGAGCACAGTATCTAATTCCTATATAAAAGAGAGAAAATTAAATAAATATTAGACCCACTCAGCCCTAATACTATCATGTTCTGATATCTTGTGGCAAGTCACTTAAGGGACACTGTTTAGGTTTTAAATTTTAGTGTATATTTTTGCTTTCTTACTAACTGCAGAGAGAGAGACCCCATCAGGACTCCTAGGTTCTATCTCAGCTCTGGGAGAGGAGTGGGTTTCCAGTAGGCGGGGGTGCAGATTCATCTGGGGTCTATATATGAACATCAGAATAGCTATACTAGGTAAGATCAATGGTCCTTGAAGCCCAGTATCCTATCTTCTGACAGTGACCAATTCCAGGTGCTTAGAGGAAATGAACAGAATGTGCAATTATCAAATGATTCATGCCCTGTCACCCATTCCCACCTTCTGGCAAACAGAGGCTAGGGACACCTTCCTTGCCCATCCTGGCTAATAGCCATTGATGGACTTATACTTCATGAACTTATCTAGTTCTTACTGGAACCATGTTATAGTTTTGGCCTTCACAACATCCTCCAGCAGAGTTCCACAGGTTGTCTCTGAAGAAATACTTCCTTTTGTTTGTTGTAACTCTGCTCCCTATTAATTTCATTTGGTGACCCTTAGTTATGGTGTTATGTGAAGGAGTAAATAACATTTCCTGATTCAATTTTTCCACATCCATCATGATTTTATAGACCTCTCTCATGTCCCCTCTTAGTCATCTCTTTTCCAAGCTGAAAAGTCCCAGTCGTTTAAAACTCTCCTCATACACGAAATTTTCCATGTCTTTAATCATTTATTTTGCCCAAGCCAGCAACAAAACAGCTCTCACAATGCTTTACTGGTTACACTGAATCCAAAATTCAGTTCTCTTAAAGCAACCCAGACTTTGGATTCCACCCAGACAGCCAGGTCAAGTATGATGATGATTATGAAAATATTTTTCATCATACAATAAAGTTCTACCAATCCCAAAGGATCGCACACATCACCTCCCGGGTCAATGAATATTTCAGATCTTACCCAAATACACGCTTACAGACAATTCTTATTAACTAAACTAAACATTATTAAAAAAGAAAAGAGATAGAGTATTAAAAGATCTTTATACATACAGACATGCATAGAGTTCTTAAATCAGCTTCAGTGTAGAGACGGTGGGCTTCAGAGTTGCATAGAGTTCTTTCAGAATTAGTCCATAGATTATAGTCGAAATGTCAAAATATTAAATATCAGGGTGGTGCAGGATATACCTGGAAACCACATTCTTGTGACTCAAGACTTCCCCTGACAAAGCTTAAGCAGATCTGAGGTTAAAAGGATCAGGTCCTAAGAGCCCTTTATACAGTTCTTTACACAGCAGTCCTTGGGTGAACTATAGGCTTTTAAAGTAACCCTCTGTTTCCTAAACATCACCAGTAATTAACTACTTGGCTTAACATTAAGCAGTTTATAGACAGTTTACCAGAAACTTTAAAGGGACATATAGATAATGATATTATTACACCCAAGTTTCATCTAATAATATTTCCTTTTGATCTCTGAATTAAAATACCGCCCTAGACAGGAACCCTTTGGTTACATTGTTAACCTCTAACAAGCTATACATTCACTATCAGCTCTTGTTCCAGTTCAGGTGGTAGCTAGGGTATTCCTCATGATGGCTCCTCCCTTTGTTCGGTTCCACCCACTTATATATCTTTTGCATAAGGCGGGAATCCTTTGTCCCTCTGGGTTCCCACCCGCTCTCCTCACTGGAAAAGCACCAAGCTAAAGATGGATTCCAGTTTAGGTGACATGATCACATGTCACTGTAAGACCTCAAGCCTTCATTCCTCCCAGCCTGACTCACAGGAAGGCTTGCCTGCAAACAGAGCCATACAGTCAATTGTCTTGGTTGATGGGAGCCATCAAGATTCCAAACCAGCATTAATGGCCCACACGTTGCATAATTACAATAGGCCCCCAGAGTTATATCTCATATTTCTAGTTTCAGATACAAGAGTGATACATTTATAGAAAGTGGATGAACACACTCAGATTATAAACTTTGTAATGATACCTTACAAGAGACCTTTTGCATGAAGCATATTCCAGTCACATTATATTCACTCATTAGCATCTTTTTATAAAATCATATAGACTGCAACATAACACAGGAGTGATGACATATGGAACCCAGCAACCACTCCCAAAGGCATGTTGAAAGTTTTGGTAGCTTTCTTTTTGGGGACACAGTACTAGAGTTAAAGAGAAGCAAATTCTGAAATGGGCATACCAAGGAATGCCATTACACAGTCAGCAATCCCGTCGGCACCAAAAGCTTCAGTAGCACAAGACCGCCACTGTGAGAATATACAACCAGACCCCTTTAAGCACATTCCCAGAGATGGATCTGGATAGCGTTCAGTTTGCAAGCAGGCTACCATTCCTTTCGCATTTGCAATGAAGATGATGATGAAGACAACTGATCATACGTTGTGGCAAAACATATGTTGATCCAGTAATGTGTGTGAGGCAAAGGTCTGACAAACAGAAAGTGCAGGTGACACTCTCTGAAGAAGGAAAGTGAGAGGGACATTTTTCAGGGGGTCACGTATTGTGTGTGTGATGGGTAGCAGGGAAAACACTTTCATTTTGCTTTGCTGTGCACCTTTGCTTGCTTTTCTCCTGTGGTACAGACCAGAATGCAGTCTTTTTCAGGATATGGATGTATGTCTTATACAAAAATATAAAATTAGATCTCAGAGAGTTCCTGTTCGATAGATATATTGCTTTGACACGCTATACCCTAAAGCAACACCCTGGCAACCATCATATTCACCACTGTTATATAATTGCAACACATCTTGTACAAAATATGTCATGTTATGTGTCAATGGAAAAGTTGTGGTTTGCTGAATATGATTATCCTGTTTGTATGCATGTCTCATTTTTGTATCTGAAGTTATGAATATTGATTATGTACCTGTATTTCAAATATGTTTGCTCCTGTGGTAACTCCCACATGATAGTTTATGTTGATACATGATTGGCTGCATATGTGTGTTCTCCTTGTGTGCTGTTACAGCTCTGCACAGACAGTTGGCACAGCAAACCGCCCGATGACCAAAAGATCTGTTAAGGTACGAAGGCATCCAGCCAGGTTTATTGCCGATGAAGCAGGGTCCTAGCTCCCCGGATCAATGTCTACAGTTACTCTAGCACATGTATGCCCATGACAATGGATGCTGCTCAATCAGTGGTGTGATTTTCCACTTCGCCCTCGGCTGGCCAAAAATACACCCTCTGAGTCTCCATTTTATACATCAGTACAAACAAGTTTCATATTGCCTCTCTGATGTAGTTAGTTAACACCCTGTGTTAGTTAACACTCATCACCTTGTAAATCTCTATCCATCACACTGCCATCCTGACCTTATCTTTAGGGTGGATCAGAGTGTTCCTTTTACCTTTGTGGAATGAGTTGGTATCGAGGTGTTCTTGAACCATCCTTCTGGAATGTGTTTACATGAGTGCTCTGTGCCTAGCACCTCTTAGAAATGTGTGTTTTTGCAATATCAGCCCTGTTATTGCCAGATTCTGTGAGCAGGGCCTGCCTCTTGCTCATAACTTAACTATCCTTTATAGCAGAAAGCTTTGACCACTACTTTATCCTGGGCTTCAGGCTTCACACCAGGACTCTGATACAAGGGCTTATGTTTCAGGCCCTCTTCCTACTACAGTTTACATCCAATATAGCCAGTACATTGTGAATGAACTATTCCAGTTGATGGCCGATCAATGAATGCAATAGGCCATGGAGGAAGCTTATCCCTAACTGATGGACTTTCCTGTGGACGTTCTAGCCAGAATATGGGTGATGGCCCCGCTATGACTCATTGAAGAATGCAAGGGCATGTGACCAGCTCATGTGACACTGGACTCCACTAACTGTGCTGGGGGATTTATTTTGAAAAATGAAGTTCCCTCCCAATGGCAGAAACTATAAAAGGGAGAAGTGACATAACCATTTGATCTCATTCCTCCACTCCCCACAACTGAACAACTGAAAAAACGTCTAGATGAAAAAGAACAGTTATTGAAATAAAACAACAAGAAAATGAGGAGAAAGAGGGAGAGCAGAAATACCAATTGGACTTGCTGTAAAAGCAGAACCAGAACTCTTCCGCTCCACTGATACCCAACTCTCCAGAAATCCACAAAAAGGGAACAGTTGTGTCCTGCATACAACGAGGCAGGTGATATTGCTGAATACTTTACTACCTTTGAGAGGCTGCGTGTGGTTCATAAGATTCTTGATAACCAGAAGATGCCCACTTTAGTTGCCGAGTTAACTGGTAAATCTCTGGATATATTCAATAAAATGCTAATTGAGAATGCTTTAGATTATTGTAAATTCAAAGCAATGGTTTTGAAACAATTTCAGATTATCCCTCAAAAATATAGAGTGAAATTTTGGAACTTTAAAAGGGGTGCTGGTGTGAGTAATGTGAAATAT